GGGATTTTTATTTTGCATGTCGTAATAATGATATTCATAAAGTACAAATGTATCTTCGAATACTGTCATTAGATGATATTAATCGAACAGTATCCAATAATAATGTACAACACGTGCATCTACAACCGTCAGTGATGAACCGGACACAGATGAACCGACGGAAGAAACCGAAGAACCAGAAATAAGAACAACAGACAGATCTGTCTCAACATCAACAACTGACACAGAACCTGAAAAACGTGGATTTAATCATGAGCTCTATTTCGAAGATGATGAATAAGTGAGTTCACACATCTTGCTGGATTGACTTAGAATTTTTTACTTCTTTTTTTGTTGAAAAGATGTTGACCTAAAACCTTTTTTTCCTCTATTTCTCTAATTCTCACCATAAACAAAAAATGTAATAAAAAAAAACTTATGATACTCTAAATATATTTCGTTATGCTCACATAAGAAGTCGAAACTACCTGATGAAGATCCCATCCGCAATTTCGCTACTGAACTTACCAGATCCCATCGCTACTGAACTTACCCTGTCACTGTTTTTATGTTTTAAAAAATGCTATGGGTAAATCGGATTCGGATCACCAAGCATATTTGCTTGGGCAATTCGGATCAATCCAGGAAAAATAGCTGGAGCTACGTCAAAAAATCTCTAGCATCTGTCAGAAACATTTTTGAAGACTACTCCTTGGAACAGACTTGTTGATAACACTCTCTTCTGTAACATATCGAAAGCACAGAACAAATAAACAAATTTGATCCAGGATAGGTATTTTATAATGTTCATATGTATTTTTGTCTACATTTTCCATACATCAGTTAATTTTTTAATTACTGGCATATGTTAAATAGTCATCGAATTTTAAAAAAGTTTAGTTGTTCATATAGAGCGAAACACGCGCTATAAAATAGCCCAAAAGTTTTTATTGCATTCAGTGAAGTGCACTAAACAATCAGAATCTTTGGATCTATAAAAAATGTCATCAAGAGTTTCATGAAAGCCAGAAAATATCCATTGGATAAAGATAATACCAATTATTCCAGATTATTGAAAAGTAGTAATTCTATTCAATATTCATCGTCATCCGCATCAATCCCAATAGTAACAACAGCATCCATTTCAAATCCAACAATCCAAGGAGAAAATGAATTTGAAGACAGTAAGTAGTGTCACACAGAATCGCGCGAGGTTTAACATGTACACTGGTTTAACTGTCGCCTTTTTAACTACTGGAATAACAATATGCCATTGAATAATTCTGATCCTCGCCCACTATCTTCTTCAACAATTTCATATGCTCCATCTGCCGTCAGTTTCCCATTACCACTAATAATCCCAACAGCAACAGCTTAATGTTAAAAATACACAAGCCCATAGTAAAAAAATCGATTTTGTCCGCCATCTAAATTAGTGAGTAATTTAGATGGTTTAGTTGATTCTGATTTCGAAAGTAAGTGTTCGAATGTGCGAATAATGCAGATCTAACTATATTTATTGTTCAAACGAGTCTCCTCCTATCTCACAAGCAGACAGATCAGTAAAAGCAATCACGGATACAATATTTCATGTATTAACACCCAAAATCGACATGTCATTAACAACTACAACTAAAAGAACAATATTAAAACGATTAAGTGGTGAGATAGTCGCCGAGGATAATGTTTTGAAACAATTACAAGCCCGAGAGAAACAAGAGAAGACAAAACAAGCAAAAGTGTCACGGTCGAAAGCTCCAAAGAAATTCAGGAAAAGGGGCAACAGGTAATTCCACTGCTACTCGAGAGAAAAATCTAAAATTAATATATGTATGTATAAATTCTAGATACCTCTCATCCAGCAGGCACTAGAAACAGTTCAATTTTAATTGGTACATCATTATTACCGAGCCCTATACATCTTCCTCTGTCTCCAACACCTTATACAAATACAATAGCTGGTATGTTAATAGTGAACTGTGTATCCGGTGAACTCAAAATACCTTTTTCTAGGTCAAAATATTACTTCGAGCGATCATGGTTCTCCATTCTCAAGCCCAAGTTCACTCTCTAAGTTATATCAACCAACACTTTTGTCTTTTAGTTCCAAGGTTAGTTATTCACAAGTAAGGGTGCCACTTTACCTAGCCACTTTACTTTACTAGTAACTACCATCCATTTCAATGAACCGCGCAGGTGATTGTTTTTTGAATAACTTTTGATAGGAATGAGATAGCGACCTGCGGTTTTCGCTGTTCGATAGCCAAGACTTGAGCGGAACTTTTTATAAGCATAAACAATTTTGGACAAAATTTCAAATATCGGGTTTCCAGAGGATCTTTGTAAAATCAGCTCCGTGCTCAGAAAACTAACATAAAATATTGGTAATCTTTTTGCATACATAGATAGTCCGGACGTTACTCTACAAAATTATGCAAGTCCCGGCTCTCCAGCTATCGTCGTTCGGACGGGGCTCGCTTTCCCCGAGCACGTGTCTATCTCTGGGAATCTCGAAATGCCGTGGAATATAAGTAACCGACTACGCTGAGCATCGTGGCAACATTTGTATTTGTGTACAAATGAATATAACTTCTCCAGAGGCATTTTTGTGACAAAACCGGTTTTTCGCCTGTTCCTAGCAAAAATTTAAATCCTTATATGTCAATCAAATCTCATGCTGACTCAAGGAAATTTTCAGCAAACGCTCAGGGCAGCTCATAAAGCATAATCGAAGACGAAAAAAGTGAATTTCAGCCAGGCATTGGTTTAAGATTTTCCAGAAGCCTTCTGAAAAACCTCAAAGCATCAGTGTTCTGCTGGATCACTTTTTCGGCATGATCAACAATATAGGGTACCTTTTAAATCCTTCCTGAAAGGCTCCTTGGGTCAGCATGAGATTTGATCGAGATACTTATATCTTGATCAAATCTTACCAGCTTACCTTTCAGACGGTGTTCAGATGAAAAGCAATAACGATATGGAACAAAGCTGAAGTATGGGCCTCTGGAACCAGCAGTAACGAACTTAGTTACTTAGCAAATAGTAACTACATTAGTTACTCGTTAATGTAGTTACTTTGTTACCGTAAAGGACCCGTATCTTCTTCAGTCCTTCAGCGCTTACTGTTCATTCTCTTTCTCATCCTCTCTTGTTCATTGTCAACTCTATACTGTATTCTCTCTCCTGTATTCCACTCTCTCTTGTATTCCATTCTCTGTCCTTTGACTATTCATTGTTCACTCTCTCTCTCTCTTCATTGTCTCTTACACTATATATACTCGTGTACAGCACATATAAGAGGCTGTTTTTATGAATAAACATACGAAAGGATCAATTCCCTTCACAGTTACCAGTAACGAGTAACTAACATAGTTACTATTTGCTAAATAACTAAGTACCTAAGTTCATTACTTTAAACGCCGAGTAACTAGTAAAGTGCCACCCCTATTCACACCCACCCAAGCAAAAAAATGCCTTTGAGATTATCTAGCTATAAAAATATGTTATCGGGCAATATCGGCTTGTGATAGCTAGCTATCCGTACCACTTTTATTGAGTTAGCTAGCTATATCGAGTATGAT